TCTTCAACATTCTTTGGGGAGTCAACTCTCTTGATTGAGTTTTTAATTGCATTGTTCATCGAATCATCAAGCTTATCTATTAAGTTTTCAATCTTTTCGAATGAGTCTTCAATTTTACTGTTCATAGATTACTCTTGAACTGTTTTGATTGAGTCTTCTAATTTAAAATTCATGGAGTAGATCTTGATCATCTCTCTCATATTGCCTCTCCATTATTATCTTACAAAAATAATTAACATGAATTGAAGGAGATGAAATGATCATCGGATTTTATATCAAGTAGTATAACACATGATAAAATGATCATTAGGTTTTATAACAAGTAGTACGTGAGCTACTAGAGAAGTGAAACCCCAATAGGAGATGGATGACTTCAATTGCATTGAAAGATAAATATAACATATATTCCAACACTATTTACTCCAAAGGTAATTACGGAAAAAAATAATTCACTCTTGAAATCTGAAAAAATCAAATATTTTTTACCACAAAAAAGGCCAAAAATCAAATAAAATGGACCGGAGGGAGTAGTGTTTTGCTTCCTAAGACACCATGAAAGAACCTAAGTATCAGAGCAAATAACCTAAACTGTCCTAAACCTTAAACAATTGGCAGATTTAATTTGAACCTAAAAATCTTTATAAACCACTTTAAAAACTTTAATCAACGATACTTTATTTCTACCAAATTCTTATGGCTTAGAGGACGTTAGCATAGCAACTATCTGTTATTATAGATCAACTTAAATTAATAGTCTAAGAAAATTAGAGTATGCACTATCAATGCATACAACAACTATCGGTTATTACAAATCAACTTAAATTAATAGTTTGAAGAAATTATGCACTATCAATGCACAATACTTTAAACTCTTTCTTTAATGGTCTTGACGTACCTTTAACTCTCAAATTTTGATTCCAACTCTCTTTTAGTCCTTACAAATTTGAAGACCTCATTGGACTGCAAAGTTTCCCCGCCTTACATACAGTAAAAACTTAAGAACTTAAGTAAAACGTTAAAAACTTAAGCAAAGTCTAAATTACCGATGAGGGTAAGTTTTTACTTCTTACATAGGTATGATATATGGTAATAGATACATCCAAATGGGATTTTTCTGTTTCTTCCTTTTCTCTCTCGCTAGGTGCAGCGAAGAGCTAGTTACCGATTTTACTAGACTATACAAGCTATTTTTATTCCGAATAAAAGAAATGAAGCAAATGTAAAATAGGAATTCGAGCAAATGTTGTCGATGTAAACATATGGTGCGAGCAAATATTTTTTCTTGACATTTCACTTTAAATGGTTAAAATTTGTGCTCCATGGTTTGTCTGTATTTGGACTTAAAGCCTTATTTTCTCCTAACTTTTTAGGCATCTATTTTAAAATTTTGTTGCATAGTTAAAGTAAAATATAATAAGTCAAACTTAAAACCATCAACAAGCCATTTCCAACCAAAAAAAAAAAAAAAAAACATCAACAACGTGCTTCTTTCCACTTTTTGCTACCTACCAATTTTTCAAACTCTATAAACAAGATGACTATAAGGAGACCATTATTCTCCCACCACCATTCTCCTCCGTGTCTGCCGTCGTCAACCACCGCAAAAATGGACGTTAACATTAAGGAAACAACCATAATTCTCCCATCAACACCTCCTTTCGCCGACGATCACGTCCTCTCTCTTTCTCACCTAGACACTGACATAAACCTCCATGTCACATTTCGATACCTTCGGGTCTACGTCAATGACCCGGAAAACCAAACCCGAGCACAACCTGACCCGTTTCAAGTTGTCACTTCCTCCCTCTCCGCCGCCCTCGTCAGCTACTACCACTACACTGGCAGCCTCGTCCGTCGTGACACGGACAACCGTCTGGAGCTCCACTGCCACGCTGGCAGTGGAGTCCTAGTGAGACGCGCCACGGTGGATTGTTCCTTGAGTGAAATTAACTACCTTGATGACCCGGAGGAAAAGTTCGTCGAGAAGTTAGTACCCGACCCGAGAGAGGAAGATTCTTTGATCCGACCCTTTATTCTACAAGTGACCCGGTTCAAGTGTGGCGGGTGGGTTCTTGGAGCCGCGATACATCACTCATTATGTGATGGACTCGGGGCGACCCTTTTTTTCAATGCGATGGCGGAGCTGGCTCGTGGGACGAGCCAGCTAAAGTTTGAACCGGTTTGGGACCGGTCGAGTTTGCTTGGACCCAGGAACCCGCCCCGAGTTGAGTTCCCGTTTCATGAGTTTCGTAATTTGGATAAAAACTCTTTGCCATATGTGGAATCGGCTAAACCGGCGGTTCGAGAGTGTTTTAAAGTGAAGGATGAGTGGTTGGACCGGCTTGAGGGGTTTCTGCACGAGCAGTCCGGTTCAAATTATACTTCTTTTGAAGCCTTGGGAGCTTTCATATGGCGTGCAAGGTATATCCTACACATAAAAAATTGACTTGTTTAATACTCCCTCTATATCGGAACCATTCAAATTCCGAGCGTCAAACTAGTTTTTCTTTGTTGCTTTATCTTATCTCTACTATTTCTTAAGTTGAGAGTCTCTCGGAAATAACCTCTTTATCTTTATAAGGTAAGGTTTAGGTCTGTGTACGCTAACCCTTCCAAGACCCCATATATGGGATTATATTGGGTTTGTTGTTATTGGTATTGTTGTAAACCCGTTTTTCTGTGATCGCAATACGAACTATGCCGCATATATAAATTGAAACTATCTTTAAGTTTTGCTAATTTTTTTATAATTCTGTTTTTCCTTAGCCGAGGGTCTTCCGAAAATAGCCTCTCTGTCTTTTTAAATGCAATGGTAAGGTCTACGTACACTCTACCATCTCCAGACCCCACTTGTGGGACTACATTGGGTATGTTGTTGTTGTTGTTGTAAACTAGTTTTTCTTTAACCGCAATACGAACGATGCCACATATATAAATTGAAACTATCTTTAATTTTGGCTAATTTATTTATCATTCTGTTAGGGACTAATTTCTCAAAGTGTGAAACAGGGTAAAGGCTACTAAAATCTCAGGTGAAATTTGCATATGCAACAAATATAAGAAGAATAACAAAACCACAATTACCTCCTGGCTATTGGGGCAATGGTTGTGTCCCAATGTATGTTCAACTCCTTGCAAAAGACCTGTTGGATCAACCATTGTATAAAACTGCAGATTCAATCAAGAACAGTAAATATAACACGACCGATGAGTACGTTCGATCCTTCATCGATTTCCAGGAGCTTCATTATCATGAAGGAATCACAGCAGGTAATTTAGCACTAAATTTATTGTCCTAAGTTGAAATTATAAGTTCATAACTTAATTTTTGTTTGAGAAATTTGCGTTTTTAGTCCCTCAAGTATTAACGAATTCGTATTTTGGTTCTTGCGATAGTTGACTAAGCACATTTTAACTTTCAAACAATAGAAATGTGCACTTTTGATCCCTATGCTTGGGAATTTTCACAAATTAATTATTAGCCATTACACCATTTACCAATAACTAAGGGGCCAAAAGTGCTAATATCCCTTGTAGAAATTTTAGTACTTTATTATTTATATCTGATGTCGAAAATACTGGATTCCGTTGCATTCATTAACTAAAGTTTTGATCCGCGTCTGCAGGCAGTAGAGTGTGTGGATTCACTGATTGGAGACATTTGGGACATGCCACAGTTGATTTTGGATGGGGTGGTCCTGTGACTGTTTTTCCACTTTCTAGGCACTTAGTTGGGAGTATTGAGCCTTGTTTTTTCTTGCCTTATTCTTCTGCTAGTAAAGGAAAGAAAGATGGATTCAAAGTTTTGTTGTATTTGCAAGAAGAAGCAATGGTTGATTTCAAGAAAGAGATGGAGAAATTGGAGCATGGGCTTTCTTGATTTTATATGGAGGTTTTTTTTTTTTTTTTGGGG